CTATTACTACTACTACCACTACTACTACTAATACTACTGCTATTACTACTACTATTGCTACTACTACTGCTAGTACTACTGCTATTACTCCTCCTCATGCTACTACTACTACTGCTACTACTACGACTACTACTACTAATACTCCTTCTCCTACTACTACTATTGCTACTACTACTACACCTAGTACTACTGCTATTACTCCTCCTTATGCTACTACTACTACTCCTAGTACTACTGCTACTACTCCTCCTCATGCAACTACTACTACTACTACTACTACTACTACTACTAATACTGCTGATACTACTAATACTGCTACTACTGCTGCTACTAATACTCCTCCTCCTACTACTACTATTCCTACTACGACAACTTCTAGTACTACTACTACTACTATTCCTCCTGATACTACTACTGCTACTACTACTACTACCTCTATTACAACTAGTAGTAGTAGTAGTAGTAGTAGCAGCAGCAGCACTACTACTACTACTACCAATACTACTACTACTACCACCACCACTGCTGCTATTATTGCTGCTGCGACCACTACTACAAGTATTACTACTACTACTACTACTACTACTACTACTACTACTACTACTACTACTACTACTACTGCTACTACCACTACTGCAAGTACCACTACTACAACTACTAATATTACAACTGCTACTACACTCCTCCTACTACTAATACTACTAAGTGCTGTATGCTTTAGCGGAAAATGTAACCAAATACGTCGCTAGTTACTCCACCTAAAAAGGAACCGATACTGCCATACCTTCTCTACAAAAAGGATAACGCACTACGTTAACGTTACCTACAAAAAGGTAACGCGCGTTACTTTAGCCGTTATTCCGAGGTAAGAAATTCGGATTACTGTGCCACCGTGGCATGAACCGCAATAATAGTTTTACTTAACCTGATATTTAGATTTCGCATGAGACTACGTACAAAAACAACAACATTATGAGAATTAATAATACAACAGGCGCCGGGCTTAAGCAATACTGTAGTATCCTACATTAATGCGTTAATTTGCGAGTGAAGGCTTATAACTTGGTAGCAAGTGGTAAAGCTGTTTCTCAGTGACATTAAACAGAATGTTAGATTGCAGAAAGAAAATATCAATGATACAGAGTTACGGTAATTCTAATGGCGGGCTGGTCCTACAGCCTACCAGATGCATATGTGCAGATCTTGTAGAAATAAAGAAATCCTAAAATAGCGTAATTCCCGAAAAAAATATATTTGCCGCATAAATATATGTGTCGTGTAATCGATATATGCCACGGTAATGTCGAATGGTTACACGATGGCATTCAGGGCTGGCCTCATTCGCTCAGGTATTAAGCAACCAGAGACGCATATCCGCAGTTAAAAGTAGACAGAAATAAATTTTATTTCAAAAACAGAGATGATAAAAAAGTATGCAAGGACAACTAGCTGACAAGTACAACTTGTGTAGTGTAAGAAAATGCTCTGTTCCAAAGTTGTAGTCATTTGGCATGCTTCCACTCTTATAGTTAATAAGTCGACACTTAAGAAGCTAGACGGGTGCATTGGTGGGTACACCTATTGTCGACACCTTGCAGGAGGGCGGTAGTAGTTCACTGCTGCGCCAATATCTCTGTGATTGTAACGCCTACGAGACAAAGCGAATTTCTGTAAAACACAACTGGGTTAAAATAAAAAGCAACGGCTAACATGACGCCTCACGTTACCAAAAAAATGTTAGCGTAAGTACGTTATACGGTAGCGCTACGAAATGGTAACAGGTATACGCTACTAAATTACCGAAAAAAAACTCGTTACCTGCAGCGGCGCAGTTACTCGTAACGCGTTACCGCCAACTCTGCTGCTACTGCCAGGTCGTGGCACTCTGGGCCCATACGCCCCCCCCCCCCCCTCCTTCCCAGAAATTATTTTTTTTTGCCATGGCATAGACAACAAATAATGATCATTTTAAGGTAGGTCCCCCCTTCCCCCAAAGTCAAGGAGGTGACCACACTCCGAAACGAATATCTGGCTAAACCTCAGACTACAGCCACTACTACAACCGCCACTGCTGTACTACGACGACCATGGCACAGGGTATACTTAAACAGCCTCACTCTCAAACGAAAAACACAAAATAAAGCAGGTGTGTTGAAGACGTTCTAAATCGGGGTGTATACGGGACCACCAGAAAAGCAAGAAGACATGTCGCACGTCTCTCGCCCTGCTTGGTCGCAATCTCCCCGGAAATCGATGTAGCAATACGCTATAGGAGCCAGTGAACGACCTTTCGAAAGCTGTTTCTCGAAGGAGCCATTCCCTCTTGATACTTTGTTTTACTTCTTTCCCGAAGGTGGCCGGCTCATGTGAAGCGTAATGTCGCGTATTCATCCGGTTTAATCGATGAGGTACATCTTTTTACTTTCAGCACTGTAATTATGATTGGCATTTAAGTCGCATCTTGGTCAATACACCGTGTGCAATTAATTGTATAATTATTCATTGCTGAAGTTTTACGTCTCGAACACACAATATGGTTATGAGAGACATCATTGTGGAGGCTTATGGAAATTGGTCATAATCACGTACAATGCCCTAGCATATAAACATAAATCTAAATTAACGGTCGTTTTACGCATTCTTTTTCATTGCAGCACTGTCACTCCAGCCGGTTATGAAAACCATGCGTCCGCACCTTTCAGTGAAGCTCCTCAAGTCATGTACCGTTGGCTTCAGTAACATTTCTACTTTGAATTACTGTCACCGTGTCATAACGCAGCCCATGTCACTGAATTATGAATTAGTAAACCACATATACTGCCTCTTCGTAGCTGTCTAAATGCACATAGCTTTTTTTTTTACATCGTCCCCTTTCCCCCTTTCTGATTCTGCTTACAGTGAAAACAGCGAGATTGCCAAGCTATTGCCAAGCGAGTACGCTCCATGAACTTTCCTATGAAAAACGAAGCCCACTGGTGGTACACTGTGGTGTAGGTTCAGGTAGGATTTATCATTTGTTACCGTGGTAATGCAAAGGGCTGACTGTGCGGGCCTCAATTACACGTGGCTCCCACAGTCGCAGCGGACCGTACAGAAGCTGTATAAACGTCATTGAAAACAGTTGACGTATAGGTCCAATGATAAATGCAACTCGTACAGGCTTTGCGTCTTATTCGGTCGAAATAGAACGCATCCCACAATCTTGATACTACGTCCCACTTACAGGTCGATAAAAGTTTAAACGAACGCGTTAGACCACGCCTTGTAGTTATAGCAGAACAGGCGTTAGCTGCAGTACGCATTCGGTTAGGCCTTTTGCACCCCACGCAATGCCTTTCTGACGGCGACTGTCGGCACCGGTAATTGGTTGCGTTGCACCAGGGCGACTGGATCGCGGTAGCTTTCCAAGGTCTTTCCCAACGCTGTCGCGACTGTTCCCCGACTCTATTAAATGCCGCAATCTCGACAGCTTGCTGACCTGTATATCAAAGTATTCTCTATTTCTAATGGGAAAAGAGAAATAGAACGTTGATGGTTTCTCAGATACGCAGCTAGGTCTACATTGCCTTACTCACCAGAATTTGTGTTAAGGCTATATGGCAGTAAGTCATCTCGCAAAGAACTGTCTGTGCTGTGTAGTTGTGAGTAGGCCTCGTGTCACGGAATCACCCACGTACTAGACATATGCGATGAGAGGAAGAATGTCCAAGCACCCGTTTTGTAGCAGAATGCCACAAGAAAATTAGAAAATGTTTTTTTCAGAAAGAAAATGTAGTTGAAAAATTAATTCTTGTCTGGGGATCTAACTCGGAACAGAAGCCTTTCCGGGGCACAACTTGGTGAGCCCAGAGCAAGGATGAATTTTTCTTCAACTAGAAGCTTTCCACCTTGAGAAATCCACATAGATTTTCTGGTGGTTACTTGCTACATATAGCTGGTTTTTCACTCATAGAAATCCGCATAGATTCCTTTCTAGTTTTGTGCTGCTGATAGTTGTTTGACAAATGCCCCTTTCTTGAGCTTTCCTCGACTTTGCGGGATGCCACCGAAATTATTCACGACGTTGTGGAGTAAAAGGCACAATCGATTGTTCCCAACCTAATCACCCACCTTTTCTTTGTTTTGTGTTTTGCTTTTTGTCAAACCGATAGGTTTTGTAGAATGGCCAAGCCAGCATAAAAATAAAACTATGAGCTCAGAGGCACATAATTTTCCTAGTGCGACTGCCTAGACGAAAGAATGCCGAGATGAGTGACTATTGCGTTTAGTGGAAGGGTATTGGATCGCCGGTTGGACTCCAAAAGACGGCGATTTCGTTCAACCAAGGCGAGGAAGCAGCCCCACCCTACGGTACTAAGGTGTCCGCTGAAGATATTCAGATCTCGATGGAGGTGAAGTGGCAGAGCTCACGTACTGTGCAATGTGAGTGCGCGTTGAAGGAAGCCAGATGGTCGACATTTCCGGAGCCCAGCACTTCATAATGATATCGTGGTTTTAGAATGAAAAACGCCGTACATCATTACTATTATTAGACATGTTCCGAAGTCACTGATTGCAGCGTGTTTCGTAGCTGTGTGTCACTTCTGGATGTTAAGTCGAGCCGATCATTCAGCAAGCCAACGGATGGTGGCCGGTCCCGCCGTGGTGGTCTAGTGGCTAAGGTACTCGGCTGCTGACCCGCAGGTCGCGGGATTGAATCCCGGCTGCGGCGGCTGCATTTCCGATGGAGGCGAAAATGTTGTAGGCCCATGTGCTCAGATTTGGGTGCACGTTAAAGAACCCCAGGTGGTCTGAATTTCCGGAGCCCTCCACTACGGCGTCTCTCATAATCATATGGTGGTTTTGGGACGTTAAACCCTAGATATCAATCAATCGGACGGCGGCCGATCGAACACATGATCGAAAGGCTTAGAGCACGTCAGCACCGAGCCATTGCTGATTGATCAACACCGTCGGCGTCGTTAGATGTTGTAGAATGACAGGAACGATTCAAAAACAAGTTTCTTTCGTTTTCGGAAAACGTACCCCGTCATAACCCGAACAATTTATTTTGAACACAGTAATGATCGCTTTCTGTGACGTACGAAGCGAACTTTTTTGGCAATCGAATCCATGGGGATCCGCCACACGGTAGGAGGTGATCGCGTGAGATCCTAACGGCGTGAAACCTGGAAAGATTGCAAATAGACAGTCAGACTGCAGCACTGTGACACAATATATAGGCAGCGTACAATTACGTCATAGTTTCAGAAACAAAGAAAGGCTCTCTCTTTATACTATTAAAATGTGAGAAGGAACTTGTGATTTTATATTGCTCCAAGTCCCGACAAGGAGCCCTTTCAAGGTTACAGTGACCGCACATCCGAGCAACAACGGCGTTGGTATGGCGGCTGCATTGCTCCAGGTGCTCCATTGAAGGAGATAGCTTATGTATGTATAGGGCATAGATCCAACGTCAATTGAGGTGAAATATCGCAGATATAGACGTTTGAACAGATTTCTGAAGTAGCCCCGTATTACTGAGACTGCGAGATGCCCTTCTTCCATGACAGGCGGAAGGTTTTTTTTTTTTTTGCTTTGTTCCACTCTTATAATAAAACTACCCGCAGTAACAACGGCTTAGGAACTACTGAAATTCGAACTTCTAATGCGTTGTTTCTTATACTTGGAGTCATTAGAGCTTTTCATATACGTTATTCTGTCGGTCTTTATTACACGGAAAGGCTCGTGTTTAGGCTTCATGTCGGCGCACTCGCTCGCAAAAAAGCATTGAACCAACACCTTCAGCGATGTTACTTACCGCTTAGTATTTCTTGATTCCAATGCCGTAGCCGATACCGTGGCCGTAGCCGTAGCTGAGACCGTGGCCGTAGCCAAGACCCAGACCATAACCAAGACCGTGGCCGTAGCCGAAGCCAGCGCCGTAGGCGACAGCGGGAGCAGCGGCAACGGCAACAGGGGCGGCAGCGACCACCGCGGGGCGCGCGACAGCCACGGGAGCAGCGACGGCCACAGGGCGCGCGACGGCAACAGCGGGAGCAGCGGCAACGGCGAGACCGGCTCCGTAGCCGATGCCGTGTCCGTAGCCGATACCACCGTAGCCGAGGCCGACGGGAGCGGCGGCAACGACAGCGGGGCGGGCGACGGCAACAGCGGGAGCGGCAACGGCCACTGGGCGAGCCACGGCCACTGGGGCAGCAACGACAGCGGGGCGGGCGACGGCAACGGCGGGAGCGGCAACGGCCACTGGGCGAGCCACGGCCACTGGGGCAGCAACGGCAACGGGGCGGGCGACGGCAACGGTGGGAGCAGCGACGGCTACGCCAGCGCCGTAGCCGTAGCCAATTCCATGGCCGTATCCGAGTCCTCCGTAGGCACCGTAGCCGCTATATCCGCCAATAAAGCCGGCGGAGGCGGCGGAGACGAGACCGAGGAGGACGATCTACAGGGTTCGAGAACGGCGTCAACAGATTATCAAAAACGGGAATCGTCAATAAACGATAAATTCAATAAAATCTTCGTTGCGAAAGCACTCCGGAGTGATAAAAAAGCCAGAATGAGTGGAAATGCAGGTATGGTAACCTGCACAGAAAAACCGGTATGCTATGCTACACTAGAGAAATAAAAACTGTAGTGTGAAAGAGGTCCAGAGAAGGATAGGGAGCACACACACTGTGAGACGCAATCACGGTATTTCTATTGTGCTGCATTGTCCTTGGTTGCTTGTAATCACATGTGCACAACTTTCTTTACAGCACATCGCGACCAATATTCAACAAAATGACTCCCTACACAGCACACTAAATAGAACAGTTTAATCCACTCATTCGTCCATTTCATCTATAATCACCGTTCAGTAATCTACAGGCTCTGTTCTGTAAATATGATATGGCATTAGGAGGATTTTTAGGCACAAATTCTAATTCCACATTTCTGGTTTTAAGCTACACCTGAAACAGCAACAGTGATTCGTGCAAAATTTATCGTTGTCATGCTGTTTCATCACGGTTTACAGTGAAATGTCACACAAGATACTGCAAAAAAAATCGTATAGCTTCGTAACTGCCGAAGACTATCGCTGTATCGGGTATGACGCTTTACGAATGCCAGAAACAAGCATTTTGACACGCAAAGGGCCTCGAGAGGTATTTTAAATTGAATTGCAATTATTGCTCGCTTAATAGCTGTTGATCTTACCTTGCCCCTGAGCGGTGAAAAATTTAGCTATTGCAATCCACGAGCATATATAGCAATCCGAATCACCATTCCCAGAAAGAACACTGAACTATTTAAGGCTGAGTGCTTCCATAATACTAGAGAACACGCACAACGACACGAAAGAAAGAGAGAGGACGATAATGGGGTCCTAGTGCGTGTTCGTTAGTAATATAGACGAATTTCATCAATACCAACCAGCCCAGTTAAATAAATGCCTTACCCATTTAAGGCCCACACTTGGGCATTCTGAACCCTTATTCACGAAACTATCTCGCTCTAAAATTGTTCGTAGAGAATATTTCAGCCAATCATGATGCGGACATATCATTAGACTAGAATGGGCGAACGAATTTCCGAAAGGGAAGTTCGATCCCTGCGTTCAGCCTCGGTAGCTTTGTGAATTTTGCCCCTGATGCCTGCAGTCCCTCGATCAGGCACGCTTTCCTATAACAAGTAAATAGTCCGGTCTTAACTTGCTGGGGCACGAAATACACTGATGACAATAGCACCCCTTTATAACCGTCGGTAGATATTTTGTTGGCACCAGCAGGGTTTGGACAAGCATATTCGAAATTTAAACGAAATTGCAGACAGGGAACCATACGTTTATATTTCACCAGTAGTTTCCAAGTGAGCTCGTTAAACATTTTAGTTAATTCATGTGGCTCATCGCTGACAGCTACAGAGAACAATGTCATTGGTTATCTTTATTATGGCTCATTCTAAGATGTTATCTGTGTTACAATATAGATCTAATTTTTCAAACTAAAAATTTACAGAATAGGTCCCTCATACGAGCAATACTCAGAGTTAAAGCGTATAATTTTGTTTTTAAGTTATCGCATAACGAGTGACCTAACACATTAGAAAGAGAAATCGTAATGGTTTCAGTGAATCCTTGATGGTATCATTTACATTCTTAATATTCTCAATGGAACCATGAGCGTTCTGATTTCGCATCTACCAAGATTTACCTTACCGAGGAGCTCCCTTGATGCCAACAAAGCTCAAGGTAGCAGAAATATTTGCTTTAAGTTTGCCGCCTAAAAGATTGCCGAAATACTCCATGGCAAAAAAACAAAAATGAGCCTGGCTGGATACCATCCACGTGATCCATAATACCGATGAATGCCCCAGCCGTTCTAGTCCGCAAGTCCCGGCTAAATCCACGTGGTGCCGTTTGCGCCGGCAACAACACCGAGAGAGCCGGTTGGAGTGTTCAGAGCCATTTCGAATACTTACAACGGCGTTCATGGTTGAGGTGTTGTCGTTGAGACAAAGAAACCAAGAGTGGCGGACCATCGGCGGGGACCGGCTTTTATACAGTAAACGGAATGCGTTCCCCAGAAGCCTCCTCGGGTAAGAAACGGCGAAAAAAGAAAAAAAAAGAAAGAACGGAAGAAGAGAGAAAGAAGACAGCCTGGCGGCGTTATGTCGTCTCCGCGGGCGCCAGCGACCAATGATCTGACCGGGGCATCAAGCGCCACCATCGTCTCAGCCGCCGTTTCGATGGGCGTGCCTCTTCTGGGTACTACCGTTTGCCCTCTGTATCGCCTGCACTTTCGCCACAGGCCATGCCGTCTTCATCAAGGACCCACTGCAAAGCAGACTCCAAAAGCGAGAGGGGTATCGGAGTGGGGGGCGGTAAGGCGGGGGGGCTGACTTCTTTTTTTCCCATCCACAGCATGCCTCGGAGCGTTGTGACGGACGAGGTGTTCCACTAAGCAGCGGTAGCAAGAGGACGCCCAAAGTCTTCCTCCTCGCATCCAGTCGGACGAGCGCGAAAGTGACAGACGAAACCGAAGCGGCCTCCACATAACTCATTTTTTTCCCATTGTGATTCCCTCTTTCATTCGCCCGGGTGAGGAGGCCTAGTAACATAACTCGGGGCAGGCATATATCAGCGAGCATATAGGTATGCCCACCAGCAAGCCCTTTTCCACTGCATCCACCACCACCCATCCACCCACATCATGACGGCCTTGCGATGATAGCCTCGACACACAGACAATGCAGCCGCGAGGTTCGTTCTGCAAAGCGAGTAGCGTTGTGCCTAATAGGCAGGGAGTGATAAGTATCTTACGTGCACCGGTCTGATGCCAGGAATTGGTTTTGCAAATGCGGGCCCTGGTAGTGTAAATGAGAGAGTACGGGAGTACCATGAGAGTGGCATGGGCGTAGGCAATATAGACATCGCCTTCGAAAGTTAACCGGGTGGGGTTTCAGAGTGCTTAAGCTTGTAATGACTTTCATTGCCCAGGTTAATAGTCGTATCCCACCACATGAAGAATTTCAGCGCCGAGTTTTCACCTCGTTTACACGAAATATGATCTTGGCATTCAGTTTTTTTTTCATGTTTCTAAATCAATGTTCCCAGGCCATTGTTACTCATGACAGTGTTCCCGAGTGAATGTTCCTGAAGCGAATGTTCCCAGGGCATCGTTTCTCAAGTCAATGTTATCCCATAAATGTTTCACAAGCCATTGCTTTGAAGCAGGGCTTGTGAAAGTCAGTGTTGCCCGGCTAATGTTTCCAAACACCGATTTCCAAACCAATGTTCCCAAGCCAATGTGTCCTGTGTCTCAAGGCTGATGTTTTGTTGGCCGAGCCCTTTCAATGATGTGCACTTCCAACATGGATAGATTCGAAAGCAAGGAGAATACAATTATCTACTAGCTTTACGATTAAGTTGCACAACTATAGGAGACATATGATTGCATTACCAATGACAAAGCTGATTTTACAGGGTCAGCCATGTGCTTACAAATGAAAAATATTTCAAGAATTATGTAATATTTGGGACAATTTCGAGCACTGATGATGCTGGCAAGTAGGCTTAGCCGAAGACCCAATATTTGAATCACCAATAACAAAACCATCTTTTTGAGATAATGAATATCTGCGGGGTCCTATTTTCTCCAGTGAGCTTCGCATAGATGTACTAATGAAGCAGAATCAGACGAGCACTAAAAACTGATGCTCAGTGTTTCTTGAAAAATTAATTTGCAGTTCAGCCTTGATATCACAAGAGGACAGCGAGCCAGCAAAGCTTACACGTAGCAAAGCTTCGCCCATTCATTGACTACTATAGGCATTATTACTCTGCTTTTTTCAAACACCTAAGAGTATTCGCTCATATTGCACGCCATATCACCAGCACAATATTAACTTATGTTAATTACGAACACACTAGAGAGGCTTTTTTCTCCGTATTGTTTCCTTCTTTGTTCATTTTTATTTTCGTTGTGGGTTTACTTCTGCCGTAGTCCCTGTTACGATGGTGATAGCCGACTATATCCGGAAATAAAACTTTGCACTTGGGATGCCAAACCTGAAGGAACAGCGGAACTGGACGGCCTTTCTTGTTTCTATTAGCTTTTCTCTGTTTATCTTCTTCTGTACTGTTCTGAATTGTTTTTTTTTGTATTTCTTATTCTTTCTGTTCTATTCTTTTTCTATCTGTTTCTCTCTGTCGAGCTGTTTTTATCTTGTTTGTCTCTCTTCCATTTCTCTCTCTATCTCTACTCATGTGCGGCGTTCTTGGCCTTATTTTTATTTCTCTCCTCCTCTCTTTCGCTGTCGGTCTTTTTTACATTTATTTTCTCTGTTTATTTCTTTTTTTTTCATATGCTTTACTCTCTCGCCACCTCTTTTTTTTTCCTCTTCACAGTCACACCTCTTCTCCTCATCCTCACTTCTCTTTTTAACCCGCTTTTTATACTATAGTATACTATGCTAGGCTAGGCTATGGTATACGTTCACCTAGCATGCCTAGATAGCCGAGTGGTTACAATGCTTGCCTTCGGATAGTGCGCACGAGGGTTCCCATACCGCCTTGTCAAGAATTCTTTTGCAGCTAAAAATATCTATCTTGCTCTTTCATTCTCTATCTTTATGTCTCTCTGCCTGCCTGTACTTAAGAGTGAGAATTTATTAGAAGGCAGACAGGTTGGCCTGAGCTAGTTCGCTCTTGTCTGCTACACTACACAAGAGATAAAGAAAGGACGAAGGAAAGAGGGATGAAGGATGACGATGGGGACTAGAGGAGGTGGTGTGCATGTACAGCAGTCACTTAGCATATCACTCTGCAGTCTAGTATCTAGTCCAGTGCTTTTATTAAAGTCTGAAACAGCCTTTGTAGCAGTTTGTGACACAATTTGGTCGTTCATTGCTGACAACCTGTGGCTTTCACTCAGTGGCGTTCGTCCGATGCTTGCCAACGTTGAAGTTTGCATTTTACTTTGCGCCACGTATAATGGGCAGACACAAAATATGTGAGCTAAAGTTTTGTGCACGTGGCAGCGCTCAGAATCCGGGCTGTCCACACGGCCGATTAGGTGGGTGTAGTGGCGCGTGAAGGCGACGCCCAGGCGAATACGGTGCAGTATATTAGCATGTCTTTGGCTGTTTTTAGCTGGAAGACGAAAAGTGATATCGGGATCTGTTTCCCGCAGACGCTCGTTCCGATCATCTGGTAGTGACCAGTAAGTGGCAGCGCATTCGCGCATGAGCGACCTCAACAGTGTGTTGACGTCACTTCGCAAATACGGTACTTTGACGTACATAGGAGCGTTGTATACTGCCGCTCTTGCTTCGCTATGGGCTAGCTCGTTGCCAACCAGGCCGCAGTGTCCAGGAATCCACTGTAGTGTAATCAAGTGACCACTCCTGTGTGTTAGATCGAATGCTTGGACGATTCGCTACACTAACGCGCAAAATTTGCCTCTTCTTGGGCAAGAATGGATGGCTTGAAGCGCCGATTTTGCACCGGACAGAGTCGTCCACTTACGCGGTGCTTGGTCGTCCACAAATTTTATGGCTTCCTGTATAGCAACAAGTTCTGCAGCTGTCGAAGATGACCTGTGATCTAATTTTTACTGTCGGAAAATACCGAGTTGAGGGATCATGAAGGCTGCAGCTGAGGTGGATAAAGTTTCGGGTTCATCGGTGTAGATGTGCACAGAGTCGCTGCATCGATCATTCAAGTTGCTTGAGTTGCTTGAGGGCAACATAAGAACCATGTGACTTATACGAAACTCCACATATGTGAAGGCACATCAGCGGTTTATTCAATGTCCATGGAGGCACTCTGGAGATTACAGCAGGTGCAAAGCCTGAAGGGATCATATGTCTATGCCTATTGAGGCGTCGTGAATATGTAGAGTCTGGTCGGTCCGCTTGTAGCGAAGACAACGGGTGCTGTGCATGTCGGATCAGCAGACGAAGGTGCACTCGAATAGGCTCACAGGACGTGTAAACCTGTACAGGGTAGGTGCGGAACACCTCTATAGTGCCTGAGGTTGACGTGCACCATGGCAAGGCCTAAGCATATTCTCAGTGCTCGTGCCTGAAGGCTCTCCAAAGTAAGAAGGCACTCAGTAAAGTGAAAAGTTGGGCGAGTTGGTGCTGGTTCATGATGATACGGGGCGCGAAAAAACGACACACAACAGAGAAGAAGTACACAGACGACGCGCGTCGTCTTTGTACTTCTTCTCTGTTGTGTGTCGTTTTTTCGCGCCCCGTATCATCATAAGAAGGCACGTTGCACGCATGCGGGAAAGTACAGGTGAGCTGTACCGTATATAGCCCGCAAACAGTGTACCTCGTACAACTGGAGAAGACTTTTCTCTGAAGGGCACCATCTCAGTCCTGCTGCAACACTAAGAACATGCACAAAACTGATTAGTTTATTTCGCAGCGCAGTCACATGCTTTGAACAGGACAGGTTGCGGTCAATGACGACCCCTAAATAGCGATAGTGCTTGACCGCGGGAATCACTGCTCCGTCAGTGAAGGTTGGGTACCACGCCATTGATTTCTTTGTAAATGTCAATGCAGCACATTTTGCTATTTAAAGTTCCAGGCCCTGACGACGCAAGTACTTAGATGTTACTGGTGTGCCTTGTCGTAGCCTTGCTCATAGTTGTACTCATTCTCTTACCCATCAGTGTTATGGGAATTGTGTGCCAGGCAAATTGGCACACTCTAAAAATGAACAGGAAGAAGAGGACGAACTGGAAGAAGAAGATGACACTGGGGCATGCTGGTTCACGATGATGAAATATTTTGTTGGAAACAACAGCTGGCGTAAGCAGCCCTATTGCTGAAGTTGTGCTTTTCTGCACATTGTTATTCGGTAAATTTCAAATGGATATCTTGCCCTTGCGGCGACAAAACATTTCCAAGCAGTTTGTGACTTGGAGCGCAAATCGAAATTGTCAGTATAAATATTGAACGTTCCCACCATCTTCCTTTCACTCAAAATAACAGCTTCTCGCTCAGTGTCAAATGCCCCTATTTCCTT